AGTTTAGTATATTAGCATTAGATTTCGACATGGAAACTCACTAGTGTGTGTGTTTGATGTCGTAGGATCCCGGTAGTAAGACGTTGGTGCATCCCGAAGTACCGCTTGTGCCTACACGAAACATCGTGAGTATTCACGCACTCCCCTATTTTCGGTTTTTATGTTTTGGGGTGGAAAAGCATGTCCAGAAAAACTATTGTTTGCATGTTGTATTTAAATTGAATTTATCAAACATGATTGCTATTGTATTGCTATGTTCTTTATGTATGTTATGCAACACGGAACATGAGAACTTATCGTACTAAGGCCCTTCCCTTATCTCTAACCATTAACTCTTTGAGCCAATGGTCATTATGGATAGCGCTATTAGGAATTGACAACTCCTCACTCGCCCGAATCGCTGGAGTGCATGATACCATATTCATCTATGGAACGATAAGCATAGATCTCGATAGGGCTTCAGTCATAGGTTTGGTTGAGACTCATTGTTTGCTCATACACATACAAACTCGTTTCTCGTTATAGCAATAAACTTGTATTCCTTAATAGCAATCAACTTGTTTATCATTAAAGCAATGTACTTGTATTTACGAAAAGCCTTGTTGTACGCTCGATTTTATAAACTTGTGAACTCACCAACTATTTTCATAGTTGACGCTCGTTTTACATGCTTTTTCAGGAAATAATTAGTAAGTGGATGTAAAGATTCATCATCATAGAGCATGCTGCATCGTGTTGAAGCTATTATGAAGTTATATTTTGAACAATGTTATTTTGAAAAACTTGTATTTTGTTTCTTTTGAAGCTATGGGTTGTAAACTTTAAATACTGCTATGGTGATGTATCTTTATCTTTTGCAATGAAACCGTTATCGTTGTCATATCTTGCGTTTCCGCTTTAGCGGGGTGTGACATAAATTTAAGACAAGGTGAGACTGGTTAGAGAACGTAGCAAACGATTTCCATGTGGTTAGGATTTAACTCTTGGGAATTGCTGAAATACAAATTACAAGAAGGGATTAGGGTTTTGTTGTTGGTTTGG